CTGTGGCCAACTCGAGCACAAGAAAGGACAATTATTTTCAGATTTGAGTTATTTTTAGCTGGATTTTGGCTCATTCGCATTCAAGGTGCATTCCGTCCTCACACTTTGACCCCATTCAAATTTTGTGTGGTTTTTGGCAAATTGGTGCATATGCATGCACCTTTTTGCCCCACATATTTTTGCTAAGGCGAAGCCCTTCTAAGCCAATTAGCGCGATGGAAAAATAAAAATTGGGCAACACCAAAACAAACAACAAACGCGATGCTCTGTTGTTATTACTGGTCGATCAGATTAGTTAATTTGGAAACCAGGAGAACTGATTGGAGGCTTATCAGATAAGTTGATGGTGGGGGATTGGCGTTCTATAAATGGGCGATTTTCCGCCGCTTTGGCTTATTACCAATCAGTTTCCCGGCGGTGAAAGTTCTTGTTGGTACCCGAGCGCTTGAACCACTAGGCTGGCTAAAACAGCGACCCTCAAAATCGTACCGAAGTACCATCGGCGAAGCTGCTTCGTTTCCAAGTCCGACAAAATCTACTTGAAGTCCATTTTCGGCTTCTATTCCATGTACCATAAGAGCTACACTTAAAGTGCGAGTTTTCCGGTAAATAGTGACGCGTTTCGAATCCATTCAACATGCCTGATTTAGTTGGAAGCGCCAACAGCAACGTGTAAGTAAACTGCAGACTATGCAGCCCTTCAAGAGTGTGGTTGTACGGGAATGTTGAAAGTTTCCATTTCAACGCGAAGAAAGAATCGGTTCAATCGCCGCCAGTAAATTTCCTCAATCACCCGCTCTTATCGGTTAGCATTCTTGGCCTTTGCAAAAATCCGCACGCTTCGTACTTACTACGATTGATAAGAACTTTGTTAACCCGATGCAACCTGACGCGTTTCAAACTGCTCCATTGGCTCTATTCACGAACTTTTTCCAGATTCTCAACGGAGGCGGCCAGAGCCGTAAAGAGCAGAGCTCACAATGTGGGCCTTTTTCAGCAGCTGCGAGGAGTCACTGTTGTAAGCGGCAACATCAAGGACCTGCCTCCAAAGGTAAGTCCTATTCTCGCATCCTCCTCATCCAGGTGTTTCGCTTTGCATTTTACGTGAGCAAATTTATTGTTCTTCTTCGGCACTTTGTGCTATCCAGCTCAAAGGAGGATCGCGGCTAAGGCCTGGGAATTCCTTACTAATATTGGACACTTTTTATCTTCACTTCAAAGCATCGAACTCGTTAAAAAGCATGGTAGAAGTTTCAGATCTGAAATATTAGACATTTTCGGCAGATCTTAAGCATTTTTTGAGCGTTTACGATCTTTAACCGACGATTTCTTCCTCATTTTTGGTCCAAACATTTTTTGATTTTTTACGAGTCTAGTAAAGGTTCAATTAATGACTTACAACTTATGAACCGATGAGTTATAACTCGTTAACTCAGAGAGCGGCAACACCTCCATAGCGCAACTCAACACAGTGTTACCCAGCCTAACCTCCGGGCAGGGGCGTTAAAGTCGGGGGGGGGGGGGTTATGTAGAAAAAATACTTGTCTTCTGTTGTTTATGAAATTAGAAAAATGATCGTCGTTTTGTGCAAGGG